CCAAATGTGGCATCAATATTTTAAGCATGGAGAAATGGTAGACTTATAAATATGTAATATTTGGACAAGAAAAATCCATTATAAGGATGATACATGCTGTTAACAGAAACTGATGCTGATTGGCTGAAATGTACTGATTGAATAAGCCAAAGGAAGAATGTTTTTCAAAGATTCAGCATCGTTCAACATTTCTGTATTGACCCAAATTATTCTAAATAAATTTAACACTTACTTTCATTACCTACTCTTTTTTTCAACATTTCCTTTGGAATTTTCACATGGTTTCTTTAAATATAAGAAGATGGGAGAGCTTCCTTCTTTTGGAGTAAGGAAAGCTTGGTATTATTTTGTTTTATATATATATATATATATATATATATATATATTTATTTATTTATTTATTTTTTTTTTTTGCAGCTGCCAAAAAACCTGTTGATCCAATACAAAAGGCAGTAGAGGCTGCTCCGGCTGTCAAACCTGCCCTACCCATACAAGCTTTCCCAGCAATTCCCTTAGGTTCACCCACCCCACCACTTACTCCTCCTCCCAAGGCTGCGGTTGCAGCTGCTGGCTCAGAGGCAAAAGCTGAAGAGAAGCCAACACCTGCTGATGCAGCAGCAGCTGCTGCTGAAACAGAAGACAAAAAGCCTGAAGATCATGTAGCTCCAGAAGCAGCTGCCCAAGAGGAAAAGAAACCTGTCGAGGAAATGCCACCTACTTCACCCCCAGAGGGATCTGCAGCTGCAGAATCTTCATTTGACCAGGGCCCTGTTCCCCCTCCCAAAATACCCCGGTCTGCTCTTTTACAACTCTTATCCCCTTCCCCATCTCCAGCCCTACCCACCGAGTCAAAGGTAAGAGATTTTTTTGTACTGTCAATAATTGTTCTGTATAGAGAACTGATAATGTTGTATCCTTTTGATGATTTTCTCATTTTTTGTTGTTTTGTTAGGTTTCGTGGCATATTTTTTTGATGTTACAATGCAAAACTGTCAAAATCTATAAAATGTAATGTCTCTATTCTTAGTCCACTGCATAAAGCCCACATACATTATTTATTACATTTAACTGTTCTTGTAACCTGTATTATCAAGGGTAGGATTTATTTTAAAAAAATCCCTCATTCTGATTGTATGCAGAAGTAACTCAGCAAAATGGAGGCAGAAAAATGAAGCAATAATCCTCTTTGTATTTTAGCACTAATTTATGAGGTTCCAGGATGTGCAGGTGGTGTAATAGATAATGGCTCAGAATGAGAAATCAAACTTTGAATTTCAGTCAGGTTCATTACTTATGCACAAATACTTTTGGGAAAGGTATGACTCGGTCTCCTCCCTGCAGCTATGGGTTAAATAGTAGGGATTCTATCTAGAAAAACCTTTGCTATTCTCCCAAAAATTGTTAATGCAATATTCACTTCTCAAAGAGTTGTTCTCAGAATTCAAAATATGTTTTGTCTTTAAATAACCCAAAATTGATAAACCAAAAAAAACAAAAAACAAAATGGTCAATTGGTTATGATGCTCGATAGAAGATGAAACACTCTTTGATTAAAGACAAAGACACTTGATGGACAGTGTTTGTGTGTGGTGGTGGGGAAACAATATGGGGGCGCCTATTGGAAGACATTGACCTACTTTCATGTAGGAAATGGGTCCATGCTACAAAATATGAGGAACTGACTAGATATTATTTGAAACATACACACTCACACGCATAAGTTTTTACTCAGCTTTAAAAAAACCTATTTGAAACAGCAAGATTGCAAATACACTCACATAGCACAATCAATCATCAAATGTATAATTATCAATGAGTATTTATATATATTTTCTGATCCATTTATAGTAGGTAAATAAACTTAAGTTAATAAATTCATGAGTGATTACTTTCCTTAGTCATTTTAATAAACTATACAAATAAAATATTTACAGTGGTGGGGGAAATAAATATTCGTACACTTGAAAAATTGTATTTTTATAAATGTAAAAGCCTAAATAAAACAAATTTTTGTACATTTTATGTATAAAGACACATACTATTAAAAAATAATAATAAACTTAATTAATTCCTATTCTAACAGAAATTAATGCATTTTTTAAATTCTAACTGGTGAAAAAAGTATTCGTACAAATCAATTATTAGAATAAAATAATCAATTAATTATGAAAAAAGTATATTCTAGAATGTTCCAGTAATGTTATCAGTAATTATAGTTAACGCTATTAGCCATTATCAGAGCATTCTGCAATTTCTAGTCTTACGAGAAGGTTCTAATAATGCCTAAAGGCAAAGAATTGACTATTTCACAAAAACAACACATTTTTTCTCGTTGGAAAGATGGGAACAGTTACAGAACGATTTCTAACAACCTGAATATTCCTTTTACTACAATTGCTTTGTTCATTGCAAGGTTTAAAACTCGTAACAGCGTCGAAAACCAAAGATGAACAGGTGCTCCGAGGAATAATTCTCTAAGATCAGCAAGGATATTAGGACGCCAGATCCAACAAAATCCACAGGTTACCCGAGAAGAGCTGCAGGAACATCTGCGTGCATTAGGGATTAAAGTAACCAAGCGTACAATAAGTAATGAACTACACAAAAACAGTCTGAAATCACATATCCCAAGGAAGACTCCACTCCTCTTGAAAGAACACAGAGATGCTAGGCTAAAATTTGTTAGAGAGCATAAGGATAAAGAATATTTGTTTTGGTAAAAAGTACTATGGACAGATGAAACTAAAATAGAGTTGTTTGGTCATAATTATCGAAATCGTGTGGAGGAAGGACGGTGAAGCCTACTTACCAAAGAACACGTTGCCAACTGTAAAGTTTGGTGGTGGCAGTATCATGATCTGGGGCTGTTTTTCTGCAAAAGGTGTTGGCAGAATATCAATAATAGATGGCAAGATGAATGCCGAAAGATACCAGAAAATCCTGCAAGACAATTTAATGCGTCCTGTTGAGAGACTTTGGCTACCTCCTGATTGGGTTTTCCAACTGGATAATGATCCTAAGCATACCGTTAGATCTACAAGGAAATGGTTAGCTGAAAGTAACGTTGATGTCTTGCAATGGCCAAGTCAGTCCCCAGACTTGAACCCAACCGAGAATTTATGGTGATATTTGAAAATTCAAATTGGGAAAAGAGCACCAACAAATATCAAGAATTTGAAGACAATATGCCAAGAAGAATGGGACAAAATACCACTCAATATGTGCAAATCATTAGTTGAGACGTACAGGAATAGACTGGTAGCTGTTGAACTCAATAAAGGATATTCCACAAAGTATTAAGTTAATATGCTTATTTTGTTTTGTACAAATACTTTATCAGTTAAAATGAAAAAAATGCATTAATTTCTGTTAGAATAAGAATTAAGTTTACACATAAAAAGTATCAAAATTTGTTTTAGTTAAGGCTTTTACATTTATAAAAATACAATTTTTCATGTGTACGAATATTTATTTCCCCCCACTGTATCTGCATTTAGGCAAAATTAGTTCCAAAGAAAAATGAACCATTTCATTAATCAGTTCATTTGCTTCTACATTTCTGAGATTGCAGTCTTATTTATTCAAGCCTTACATATGAGGCACTCAGATACCTTTGTCTATGTGAGTATCTTGCTTCAACGTGTTATTGAAATTGACTTTATTGTTCTATTGCTCATCTTTTTCTTCTAAGAGATATTTTCATTTCTCTGTTATATTAAACACATCAAATTTTTAACATGAAAAGATATTGAGAAAAAAGCAATTTATATAATCTCAGGACTAATCAATAAATCATAGATACCATTGAATGTCTAAAAAAAAAAAATATAAACATATATATATATATATATATATATATATATATAAATAATTATATTTATGCTTTACTTTTGCATCGAGCACTATTTTTTAAAAATAATAACAAAAATACTAAAGAAATTTGGATTATTTACCTAATGAGTTCTTTCCTATTTTCTATATATTTTTCACACACACATATATATATATATATATATATATATATATATATATATACACACACACAGAATGGATTAATTAACCAGTTCATTGGCCTCTAGTTGTAAATTCTTTATGTCCACTTTATTAAATTTCAATACATTGTTTCAAGACTTTTGTTCCATTGCATTTCGCTATTAAATCTTTCAAACAATTACCATAATTTTTTATGCCACAGGTACGCTAGTAGGTAATTGAACATCTTTTGCCTCAAAGGCAGAAAATTCACCAAAATTAATTTTAAAAAAAAAATCATAAAGCGAATACACAAGATGAGTCATATTTTGATGACATGAATTTTATCTCCCCTAAACCCACTTGAAAAATGGGGCAAATACTGTGAAGTTCTCATATTCTTCTGTTGACACAAAGTACCCAGTTTGCAAATTTCAAATGATTCGAGAAATCTAAATTGAAACAAAATAGGTACATAAACAACCCTAACATAATTTTATTGCCATATAAATAGTGTACACTAGTACTTGTAATTTTAAATCACAAAATATTGCAGTAATTTATGTGGTGATGGCACTGAGATTTTAATAAATAACTAGACCACCCATGGCCCATTGGGTCAACCTTGTTGTGTTTAGTGTTTACATTTAGTTTCATGAAGAGTTTGTGAAATTAGACATATTTTAAAAATACATTTATTTGCAGTTAGTTTAGTAAACCTGTAATACATTTTATTAAGCTTTAAATTTATTTACAAAACACTTTTATTTACAATGTTTAAAGTATACTACCCATGACCCATTGAGTCATTGAAGGTTATGATTATAAAACATTGAAGTTGCTTTCAACATTAAAAAAATGTTTGAAGAAAATTGAAATAAAAATATTTAAAATATTGTTTGTTTAAAGAAAGCTGAAATATAAATAAGCACACACACAATCATGGGAAGGTGGAAGGAGAGAGGATGTTTTTTTTTTTTCTCCATTTCCTTCTCTCTCTCTCTCTCTCTCCTTTCCTATATGATAATAAATTTACATCTTTCTTTCGCCCACTCTGGAAAATACACAAGCAACATTCACAAACCTTTATAATAATATAAAGATATGGTACAACTTTTCAAAAAAAATATTACATAGGTGTGGCTGTACTATGGGGTAGTATTATACTAAAAGATGTAATTTATTCCCTGTTTTTAGCTTCAGAAAAACGGGGTTGTATTATACTCAAGTCATACACAAGAAAATATTGTAATGTTCTTAAATTAAATTCATAGTAAACAAATATTACAAATGTGACACTATGGTTGGGACATCTGTATAGTTGAGGAAAGTGTGAACTCCTCTACATTTCAGATTTTTGTTTTATGGCCAGAGGATGCTGACTTGACCAAAGAGGAACCAGTGAACAAGTAGGTAAAGGAAAGCAAGTCATGGTTGGAATTGCTTCTGGCCTGGCTCTGAGCAAGGACCAAATGTCCTTTAGGTAGTTCTGAGGCCACTTGTTCATATTGTCTGTCATATATTGGATATGTAGATGGTCAGGGAGTTGGTAAATGATAAACATTGCTTTGTATTAGTTGCTTCACATTTTAGAATTATTGTAAATAATCTGATAGTGTTTAATATTTTTTGTTGTAATTTGACAAGAACAAAGAAAAATATAGAAATTCAATTCCATATGTTTGGGTTTTATTAAATTTCTAATCACCACTTTTTAAAATGATAAACATTGCTGAGTGAGTGAAGGTAGTATAAAATAATAGTGGTGTCGAGGGAAAAGCCAACCTTTTGAAACACTTTTTTTTAACACACATGAAGGTTAAACTTTGGCTTTTTTTTTTTTTTTTTTTTTTTTTTAAATTAGTTTGAATTTCATTGGTAA